GCACCTGCGGCCGGCCCAGCGCCGTGCCCGGGATGCCCGGGGCCCCGCGCCGCCTCCTGCCCCTCCTGGCCTCACCTGGCCTCACCTGGCAGGGGAAAGACCGTGCCCAGGCAGGCGGGTTTCCTCCTAGCGGCGAGCAGCTCTTTCTGGGCGGGGTACTACCCTGCCCCCGGTAATGCAGCAATGCCCGCTGCCCACCTGCACGCCAGTCTCTGTGCCGGTATTTCGTGCTAAAGAGGTGACACAACCGGTATGAGGTTTTCTCCTCTGGAGATTTACACACCTCTTGGCCCTGCCGTGAGCGCTCAGCACCCTGTATGGCCATGCCCGACTGCAGCGGAGAAGCAGGAAGCAGGTGGCCCGTGCTGTGGAAGTGTCTGCAGCGTGGACGATGCCACTCAGTCATGTCTCTGCAAGCTCCCACTGTACCAGGACAAGGGCAGAGGCCCCGGCTGAAAAGCCACGGTATGTCAGACCTTGTTCAGCTTGTAACCACATCCCTCTGACTCAGGTCTGCTGTTCGTAGCACGGGCATCTGTGTGGGTCAGTCTCAACGGGAGCAATTGAGCTTTCTACTACCGTCCTCCCTGCTGGGTGCACTAATGCCGCAGGCGATGCATAGGGAGGGTACGGGGGGCGCGGGGTACATGCACCGCCTGAGATTGGCCACTGGCGACACTGCTGCCGGTGTCTGCAGGTGATCACTGCTCGCCACTCCGCACTTGCCACTGACACCTCCGCGGCCTCCTGTTGGTGGTCCCCACTCAGCCCACCCTCCACACCAACGTCACTGTGGCTGCCTGTGGGCCGTCCCCACTTGCCACCACCATCCCTGTTCCCAGGAGGAGGAAGGCTCCACTCTCATGCTCCTCCATGCAGGAATCAGGCTGGTTCCTCCTAACTCAAGTCTGTCTGACTCCTTCCAGCCTCACTCCCTGCTGCCTGCTTGCCCTTTCAGATGCCTACCATGATGGAGGAAACTCTCTGTTCCTTTCTGCTGTGCCTCCTCCTGTATTTCCAAATGTAGGGTAAGTGCCAAGGGGCTGCATTTACCCCTGGTACAGCCAGAAGAGGTTATAGAGCCACAAAACATGAGGGTGGGAAGGGACCTCAGGAGCTCAGTGAGTCCAACCCCCTGCTCAAAGCAGGACCAGTCTCCTCTATATCATCCCAGCCAAGGCTTTGTCTAGCTGGACCTTGAAACCCTCTACGGATGGAGACTGCACCACCTCTCTGGGTAACCCTGGGGTGAACATGGGCTGCTTGTTTCAGCAAAGCATGGACAGTCTCCGGCCTTGCCATGGAGCTGTCTGTTCCAGCGCTGCCCCAGCACGGGAGCCCTGGGAGCTGCAGCCACATAGGCACTTACACTGGTATCAGCACGCTCCAAAAACAGGAGTCCGGCAATTTTACAATTGTAATGTGATAGTCACCCTTTTCCTCTCTGTTTTGTTGAGACTTTAATCGTCCAACCCTCAAAGAAAAATGGTTTGAACCTATACAATTAAACAGCATAAAGGAAGACAGAACTGCCAGCAAGGTATGCAGTCCAGAGAAAATGCAGAAGCCATCCTGCACCACTGTGACAGCCAGAACCAAATAAATTAATAAGCAATAGATATGTGCTGCTTGGAGGCATTTGAAATTTTTGCCTAATATAAAGCTTGTAAGTTTGTAACCCGCAAATGTAACTTGCCTGTCACAAGTTTAACCAAAATGATAAAACTAACAGTTTGTGGAACTGACTGGATCTCAAAGACAAAGCTATAGCTCTGAGATTAGCTGACCTAACGGTTTTTGCTCAAAGTTCAGCCTTGATGATAAAAACTGGAGCGAACCACCAGGCCCACCCAGCACGTTCCAGGAAAGCACGTCTCAAGAAAGCATAGTCAGAGAAATCTAAAGGGGCTGGATTTAGGTGGAGTAATGTTAATGTCAAACCTGGAGATGCTGCATTGTAATTTGCTTATTGGATAAACCTGAGTCTGGGTAGTAACCTTTTATAATAATTTTTAACACCTTTTCATCCCATAGGGTAACAGTATAGGGCAAGATTGTGAGTGGCCCTAAAGCCAACAGATTAGCATAAGACTAGGTACAAAAAGAGCATGCGTCAGGTAACCAGCAGGAAGGCAGGAACAGAACGGTAATTGCTTTTCCAAGCCCGGACCCTGAACTCCCGGTGTGAGTGAAGATCACATCCTGATCAAGACAACTTCCCTGGTAATCCCTCTGACAGTGTTGATAGCATGCGTCAGGTAACCAGCAGGAAGGCAGGAACAGAACGGTAATTGCTTTTCCAAGCCCGGACCCTGAACTCCCGGTGTGAGTGAAGATCACATCCTGATCAAGACAACTTCCCTGGTAATCCCTCTGACAGTGTTGATCGGGGACGCCTGACTTCACTGGAATCACTTGGCGTGCACCTGGCATTGAGGGACTATCGTTAAGGGCTTGTGGGCCAAGCCCTATGAGGAGAGACTGGGTCACCTGAACCTGTTCAGCCTCCACAAGAGAAGGTTGAGAGGCGACCTTGTGGCTGCCTATACGTTCGTCACGGGGGCACAGAAGGGAACTGGTGAGGTATTATTCACCAAGGCGCCCCCAGGGGTAGAAAAAATAATGGCCACAAGCTAGCAGAGAGCAGATTTAGACTAGACATTAGGAAGAACTTCTTCACAGTTTGAGTGGCCAAGGTCTGGAACGGGCTCCCAAGGGAGGTGGTGCTCTCCCCTACCCTGGGGGTCTTCAAGAGGAGGTTAGATAGGCATCTAGCTGGGGTCATCTAGACCCAGCACTCTTTCCTGCCTATGCAGGGGGTCAAACTCGATGAACTATTGAGGTCCCTGCCGCCCCTAGCATCTATGAATCTATGAATCTACTGAGCACTGCACGCAAACACAAGGCAGGCAGCCTGGAAAGAGCTTAGCCTGCTTCTGATCCCGTGGAAGTCTCTGCTCTGAATGTTTCCTGGACCTCTGTTGAAGAGTATTGGGTCTTTACATGCATTTGAAATGGGAAATAGGCAGGGCTGATGATCCTTTCATTTTGAAAAGAAGCTTTTGCAGCTTTGGAAATCTGTGTGTGGGAGGAGTTTGCAGGTGTGGGGCTGCAGCTTGAGCCTGTGGGGTGCATGGGTGGGGGCACAGAGCTTAGTGACTCAGAAGATGAAAACTCAGATACATGTCCCTGAGCTGAATGACTCTGGGGCCTGGGCTGGGTGACTGCTAGTTGGATCAGTCTGCGCTCAGTGGAACTACCTGCTAGCTGCTCATTAAGGGCTGTC